TATATAAAGGAAAAAGATCTGGAACCAAAGAAAAAAATTATTTTTTTTAATGCATACAAATGAAATACCTGATGCAAAGATTGGAAACATGTCGAGCTAACCAGTTTCCATGTACAGTAATAGCCTTGTCTTGGACCCCGCCCGTATCACAATCATCGTTCTTTAACAACCACCACCCCTCCCCTTTTCCCGTCCCATAGAGCTAGTGCTACTACCCACTCTCCACCCCACCCCCCCACTCCCCCTCATCTTGTGTCGTCCCATGTTTACTAGCACTAGTAGCAAACGGAAGTCGCCCGCTGCATTGTGGGTGCCGAGGCGTGCCATTGTTTCTATCTGGTATATCTACACAATATTGGACTGCCGTGACGTAATCAATAAAAGTGTGCTTGATGAATGGTTACTCCGACTTCTGGAAGGGAAATTGTGATGATATCTGGGCGACTGTCGCGGTCACATCGTCCGCACGTAGAACCAGGTGGTCATGACACAAAGGGTAAGACCACGTTATGGAAGGATGACACGACAAAACGCACAACGATTGGTAGTTTGTAGATAATGCAAAACAAAGAAGGGGGTCAAATATAACAATCGTTTTGCCATACCACGCTGACACCGACACAATTTTCCACGTCACGGACGACTCGATTCCCAGAGAACAGCTTTCAATTTTTTTTGTCCGTCCGATTCAAAGGAAATATCTCATCAACTAGATCTAGATCTAGTCCCCTTCAGAATTACTTCTATTTTTCCACTAGTTGTCTATAAATAGTAACAGTAGCAGCAGCGGCAGCAGCGGCAATGTTCCTCAGATACTGGCTTGCAGGCTTACATTAAAGTAGCTCTGAGTCTTTCTGTTGGTGACACAGGCTTATGAAAATTTGTTCTTTACTTCGTCAGGTCATCCCTGCAATTCTCAAAAAGTTCATAGAAACTACTGGGTTTCATTCGAAAATAGCTGAAGAAATTTTCATCGTCTTCCAAAAATTGTGGGTATTTAATGACGAAATTCACCGAGAGTCTCGCGCCGTTTCAATATTGGGTGAATGCCATATTTCTAGCGTGTTGTCGTTATCTCTGTTTTGTTTTAGTAGAGGTTTTACGGCTCTTGCAACTGCATAAGGTCATATGAGCGCCAGTCGTTGTCTCTTCTGTCTCCTCCTCAACCATAATAAAACAAAAACAACAACAAAAAAAACAACAACAACAAAAACCTCGAACTTTTTTCTGCTGGTACACGCCATGTCGGGTGATAGGGTGTCGTGGAAATTGTCCCTTGTTAACGTGGTCGGTTGTTACCGCGGACGACACGGACTATTTTTGTTGTTGTGTCGTCCGTCATTAACGTGGTCTTGCCCTTATTCTCTTCTCACTAGGTCCAGGCGGTCACGTCACTCACAATCTTCTCACTAGAACCTGACGGCCACGTCACTCACAATCTTCTCACTTGGACCAGACGGTCACGTCACTCACAATCTTCTCACTAGGACCTGACGGTCACGTCACTCACAATCTTCTCACTTGGACCAGACGGTCACGTCACTCACAATCTTCTCACTTGGACCAGACGGTCACGTCACTC